GGAATTACTTCTACTTCTGTCATTGCTTGACTGAATGCCCCTTTGTTTTCTAAAGCTCTGAAACAATATAATTATATTGTCCCCTCAGTCCTGGTATTTAACTTTTACAAATTAATCAGTTGCTCTTAGCACTTGCTTTGCTTCCCTGTTGTGATATAAATGTTTTTGTCACTGTATTTGAATTTCTCCTTAAAATGTGTGTTGTGACTGGAAGGTGATGATAATATTGCTACTGAGTCGAATTTAAAATAGAAAACAGTTGCACTAATTTCCCACGCTGATTGGCCCTTGGCAGCAGCTATATTCCAGCATATTTGCTGTAAGCCACTAAAAATGTCCCTTCCTTGCTGGACTCATGATTAGTGTTAGATGTTAGACCAGTCTAAGTTGGAGTTACTTGTATTATGGTGGGTCTTATGATTGGCTGGTTGTGTGTTTTACCATGGTGTTGCAGCAAACACTTGAACGGGATGTATCAAGGTATTGATTGTTATGGAGATAGAAAGATGGGGTCATGGAGATCAGATGTTGGGTTTCTTTTCAGTCACCTCTGTCTGAGGTGCTCTCTAACCACCCTAGTCTTGGTAGCAGATGAGCTGCAATCTCCTACTCAAAAAGGGGTGATATCTGGGCTGGGGGTTATATGGAAGGAAGATGATCACTTTCTTTTTGATTAGGGAATCTTGATTCACATGGGGAAAAGGGTAGTATTTTTCATTTTATTTCTTTGTCACTTTTGGGAAATACTCAAGGTCCCCATGTACTCTGAGGTAAACTGGACTTAATTCTGCAGCATGGCCCTTGGTTTCTATGGCACTTCAGTGCAGCCGGCTGGAAATTTTGCGGCAGCCTCAGGTAAATTCAAAATTGGAGGTTTTTAATGAATCATTTATGAAAATGAATAATACAATCAGTACAGCATTCCTTATCGTGTTCGATTTAATATTAAAATCAAGTAATTTACCTTTCCCCTAAATTTTAAATTTGCTGCAGATTTTTGTAATGAAAATGCATAACTGCTGTGAACATCTTTTTTCCAGAGGTGGTGGGGACTGGATGCCTTGGCAGTTGGAACTTTTGACACCAGAGAAGGTGTGGGAGGTGGTTTAGGATTGTGGAATTAATGACAATTCTTTGTTCAGTCTCACATCATTAGAGAGCTTGGAATAGCTGCAGTATGCAGTTTGCTCTGCAGTATCTCCAGTTTCTCATTTTAGGCTGATCTTTATTTAAAAAATCCAAGTAGATAGCATTTTTTCTAGTCTGATTTGAGATTTCAAGGTCATCATGACACCCATAAACCTATCCCAAGTGTTTTTAGCTAACATTTGTGCTTTTGGGGATGGAGGGTCTGTTTCATTGTTTAGCCAGTGGAGAGTGATAGAGCTGAATGGCTTTCAGAGCTCTCTGTTGGCTAACTCTGTTGTTGGCCAAGTAGGTCATCACAGTGTGCCCTTTAATATCAGTACAGTGGTTCCTAAATTTTCTCTGCATTGTCTTCTTAGGTCTTGTTGGAATACGGATGGCTTGTGGCACTGCTTAGAGTGCTCTTTACTGGGCTACGTATAGAGTGTGTTTATAATCTTCTCCCATCACTCTAAAGGACATGAAGAGTTATTCCCCCTCCCCTCCCCATAGTGTCTACAAAGCCATAACATCTATGAGTGGCTATTGACTGGTACATAGGTTGGTGAATCCTAGCTGCCTACATTCAGAAGCTGTTTCTCATGAATAGTTTTCTATCTACATCATGGACAAATAGAAAGGATTGAGATGGGATTAACTCCTTTCGGGGGCAGATGCAAAATCTTCTTTGGTTGCAGTTTTGGCCAGTCTAACTTGCTGAAGTACTAAGGGAGCGTCTATCTTTGCCTGAGAGCCAGGCCCCTCATAGTTAGTAAAATCAAGTTGGGGGTGATGTTAGGTCTTTTTTTTGGCAGGGCTGACAGGCGTTCCAGGGTTGAGATCATCTGCTACCACAAATGTAAAAAGGAAGGGACACACTTTAAGTTTAGTATAGTTAGAGATGTAACCAAAACATGTCCCTTAGAGCTCCAGTATGTGTTAAATCCACAGCCAGGCTTTCTTTCTCTCTCTCTCTCTCTCTCTCTCTCCTATTTACCCCACTTTGTAGGAGATAAAATTTCTTGTTTTTCGAGTATGTGTCGGTGTGGATCCCACTCTATATGTGCATGCCGCTCAAGGATGTGAGATCAGAATCTTTGAACAGCAGTGTCCATTGGGCCATGCCTGCACCCCACAGGTCCTCGTCCCCACTCCCTCATGAGGGCATAAAGGTCAGCAGAGTGGTCAGACCCATCCTTCAAGTCTCTCTTACTGCCTGTGGCAGCGAGACAGAACCAGGCTATATATGCCTGCTACCCTTTAGCTAGTGACAAGTAAAGAGAGGAAATACTCTAGGTAGATAACTAGGGTTAATTCTTGTCAGAAAATTCTTTTAATTTTCTTGCAAACCTCCTTCCTTGCCACTCCCAAAAATTATTTATTATTCAGTACTCTTCACCACAACCACTATCATGGTGGCTTCAAACCCTGTCCATCTCACAAATGACACATTCTCCTCACAGATGGAGGTAGCCATAGTTTGTTCTGCTTAGGTGAAAGCCATATGACTGACCATTGCACTGTCTGCCAGTCTTTCTCATCAGAAATGAAAAAATCTGGAGACACTGGGCTAAAACTATTTCTGTTGGAGCAGTCTGTGAGGGGCATTTTTACACCCAGAAGAATAGGCATCAGGCTGCAAGATGAGACCTTGTACCTCCAGGTCCAGTTAGTTAGAGCCCTTGTGAGCTGCAATGCAACTCTGAAGGCAAATTCTGATAAGGCAGCTGACACTGTACTGATTGGCTGTCCATGACTGCCCAAGTCAGCTTATCGCTGATGGCTGCTCCGGCACCAAAAGACTGAGATGTATCTTCCACTTGGAATCAAGGTAGACCAGAACACCAAACGGGCCATGGTTCCTAGCACCAGTGCTTTTACCTCCTGTAAAAAGGGAAAAGCTCAGAGGCCTAAGAAAAGATCATTTGCCTTCGGGCTCCTCCTTGGAATTTGGCAGAAAGTCCTTTAGTAATACAGGGCAAGTGACATGGTATTGATTCCTGGCCCAGTACTAAGTAGTACCAAAACAACCCGTGTACCTACATCTGCTACTGATACCTTGGCTCTGGCAAGCAAAGCCCTAATGGATCCAGCAGACCAGCTATTGTTGGAAGTCACTGCTTATCTGGTGCCGTCCTCTGTGTTAGAGAGCTTATTCCTTCACTCTCCCACTTCCCTGGTCCCTCTCACATGAACAGAGAGCAACAATACCCGAAGTCCGAAGGTGCAAACAATTCGATGTTTATTGGGATGAACTTCCAGCAAGCTTAAATACAAGTTCCTTTTCCTTATTTCCGAATCCCAACTTACTTCCTGTTTGCCCCTAATTTATATAGTAATATTCTTAGCTATACCTTAACCAATCATTCTACTAAAATTTAACTAACCAATCCTAACATATTGTAACATGATTATGTAACCAATTATATCCCACCACCTTAATTAGTTTACACCCAGCAAAATTAATTATACAGCAGACAGGAACAATCACAGAATCAGACAGATTATACAGACAAACAATAGCAAAGTGGGAACTATAATGGCAAGACAATACAGAAGTGAGGATTTTACATCCCAGTATTGATAAGTGAGTTCTTGCCAGACAGGATGCTATCAAACTAAGTTTTCTTTTACATTTTCTAGGCACTTCCCTTTCTCTGGAGGTGATAGGCATACAATCCTGTCCTGATAGTGCCTAACAGCCCAATAGCACCTTATTTCAATGTGACTAGTTTGGAATGTGAGGATGTGACCGTTCGCTTCCCAGCTTATGGCTGCCTCTGCTGCTTAGCCAAAGGCCTTAGCCTAAGAACAGGGCCACAAACTGTCACAGTAAGAGAAGGCCCTTACACTGGCAGACAGTGGTTTTGATTCTTTCTTTTATACCTCTGGAACTAGCCAAGTGATAAGAATACACCTAAATTCTTAAAGTACAGGCCTTTGCAGACAGGCCTGAATATCTATATCCTAACACTCTGTATTGAGAATGTTACTCTTGGCACTAACTCTGATGTCTAAATTCTCAGTACTGACAGTACCCCCAGAGTTCAGCACCACCTTTAGCGGAAATCTACTCCTTTTCTTTCCTGTCTGGGCCGTACCTTTTCCCTCCGACTAGCCTAGAGCCTTCCCCATTCACCGAGATCAGGAAATAGTTCACCCTCTCATTTTGGAGCCCCAGCTTCCCCATCACTTTCATGACACTGGCTTAAACAGTGCTACCCTTACAATTTTTCACCATGGCCTGAGTCAAAGCCCATTCCAGTCAGTAGGAATTTTTGTCATTCACTTCATTGTGCTCCATTGGCTGGCGTTGACTTCGGATCAGGCCCGCATCATGGGACAATCATATATAATCATAATGAATTATTGATTCGGGCAAGATACTTTTCACTAGAAATACAAATGGACTTACATTTGTGTATGTGATTCTGCTTACAGTATTACTTGTGATTTTTTTAGCCTGCTGTATACCTACACAATTGTTTTTATATATTTATATAAATACAGTAGAATTTCAATTTTACTAAAACCAGCCTTATAAATGGCCAGTTACATAAATAATTTTTCCGGAAGGGGGGGGAATCACATAATGAAAGTGATGTCGATGAACAAGTCGACATCTCTTCACATTCCAATTTCTTCAGTGGATGGGAAGTATCTTTGCAGTGGTGTAAAGAACAAGACGACGACGATGTAGTGCACCATACTGCAATTTATGCACCATACCTACTGTAATTTTGAGATGTACAATTTTTTGAGCATTTCAATTTTATAAACATCAGTCCCCAATTAGTTTGTAAAATTAGAGGTTCTACTGTATCTTAAATTCAGTGGCTTTCTATATTTTAATTTCTCTCTCTTCCATCAAACAGATAAGCAATCTGAAGAAAATTTTAAAAGGAATACTGGATTATAATCACGAGGTAAGAACTGTTTCTCAGTGCTCTATACAGACCTTTCCTTTTGCTGAATATATTCATTATGCTTGTTGAACATGTTACAGAGTATTGTTTCGTTTAGTATTAGGTCCAGATATATCACATGTGCTCAGCACCCAGCAGCTCCCATTGGAGCTGAGCTCTTTCAAAAAATCTGACCCTTTCCTCATGAAATGAAACTGTTCATTTTTCTAAATAGCTATTCTGTATCTTATCCGCCCTTCCATACTCTTTAAACCTATTCTACCAAAATAAATGAACTCATCATGGACTATCCTTGAGTACTAGACTGCTCCAAAGCTTTATTCCATGCTTCATCAAATATGCCACTAAGGAACAAACCCAACTTCCAAATTGTGTTGAAAATAAAAGCACTAATATTCTTAAGCATCTTGACATGAAAATAGTAGATGTTCTTGGTGACTCCGTATTGGAGTTGAATGCATAAAAAATAAAGCTTGTCTGTCTGACTTTCTCCTCTGCTCCTAGTAAAGACTATCACTTTCATTTTTTTCTATGGGGAAAATACTCAATTGAGGTGGGGAGAGAGGAGTTAATTAAAAGTTTTAATTTTGGACTGTTAGAGATCTACTGTTGTGGCACGTGTGTTCTATGGGGAAGCTCTTGTGCTGCTTGTCTCCAAGACTGCACTCCATGGGAAGGAAAACAAGATATATTTATTCCCTGCTATGTGCTGAGGTAGCTGGTGCATTAAGAATGCAGTGAAACAGGCACATTATGGGATACTCCAAGCACTTGTTTTCTGTCTGAACAGTATAAATATTCTAGAGAGGAGGAAGATAATACATTTGCTAAGACTTTTGGGGAGGGGGCAACATTTTCAAAAATGTTAGACTAACGTTAGACTCCCAAATTCAAACTTAATAAATAGACTGATTTTCAGAAGTTCTGAGTATCCCATTAAAGTTAGCTCATGTTAGAGTCTCAGGAGGGTAGGAATTCAGAACTCTGATGTTTCTGAGCAAACATGCCAAGTCCTGTTAGCTGCTCAGAATGAATCTATCAGAAAGACATACATACATTTTTCTTGGGAATTGTTTATCTGCTATGTAACATCCCCATATGGATCCTTTTCCATGCCCTGCACACACACTGCTTGCTACCTTCACTTGTCAATCTGGGTTTAAAAGAATCTTCTCTTATACTTCATTCGGCAGATATTTCTTTCATGGTCATGTTGAAGGAAGAGCAGTTAGTCCACAGCCTCTGGGTTTGTGAGAGCTTGATGCATTATAAAAGTTCCTTATATCCTAGAATACCAATGTTGTATTTTCAAAATGTCAGCTCCTTTTTAAGCCACTAAGTATATGTAAATTTAAGTTTCTGACATGGTTAATTTATTTTAGAAAGTCAGTGACTTGAATTCAGAAAATGACTGAGCTTCAAGCTTTGACTGATTCATTAAGTACAAAATTCTTCAAAGATAAGATGCATCTGTGGAACATCCCAGATTGCTTCCAAAAGTGCATGGTGATGAAGATCCACTTACATTTGTCAGTTGTCCTGCCTACATTTTTCTCATCTGAGTGCACATCCTGGGAAAGTCCTTCTGCACAAGCTAGATGTGAAAAGATTAGGCTTTTACCTAGCATAGACAAAAGCCTTGGAGAATTAGAGCACTTTTTTTGTTTCATTTTACAGTAACTCAATAGTTTATGGAGTATCCAAGGGGATTCTAATGGCTGTCATAAAGCATCCTGCACTATTACAGCCTCGCAGGAGAACAAGTTGATGGTCCTGTCCAGGATCCTGTGTACTTTATGATCTCCAAAGAAGTTGCCATAGACTATTCCTCTTCCCAGAGAATTCTGCTGTAAAATCTAAGCTTCCGCTATTTTTCCTTAAAGTTTCTAGTATTTGTGCAAAGAAGACTTTTCAGCTGTCAGAGTCCAAACCAATATGGTGGTTGTTTCCTGAGGCTGCTAAATCCTCAAATAGCTACGACTCGTTCCTTTTTCATTTCAGTGGGGTATCGACACTGGCGCCTAATTTTAACATACCATTTTGCAGCAGTATCCAGCTAACATGTTTGTTTCACAATCCCAAACCCATGTCCTCATAGTGCCAAATGACATATCTCCTACCCAGCTTCCCTAAGAGCATCTACAAAGCAATATAAAAATCTGCATCACATCTTAAAGGTTGGGGCAATGTCAAAATTGGATATCAAAATAACCATTCAAGAAATACTGTATTGATTATATTATTCATTTTCTGTTTTAATTAATAAAAATATTCTTTTTTCAATTTACCTGGGTCTGCTACAGAATTCACGTTTTAGGTCACTGGAGTGACAGAAAAACGAGGGAACCTTGCCCAAGAATTTAGGTCCAGTTTGCCACATAGTACACGGGCATTAGTCATGTTAATGCCCATTCTTTGGGCAAGACTTCTAAGGCAGCAAATCTCTGTTGTCTTTTTAAAACAACTTGATTTGCAAGACAGTCATTTATGTATTCTTATACATACATTTGCTAGATACTATTGTGTAAATATCTTTTCCAAAGCTATTTTTTGGCTTAAAAAATCAGCAAATAAATTACACATTCCTTTCACAGTCACTCTTTTTTCCTCCGTTTGCATTTTTGATCTGTTAAATTGACTGGTTTTTTTCTATCTGCAATTTATGTGCTAAAAGTTTGACTCATCCCAATTTTCATAGTAATATTTTCAACTCGTACAAAGCTTTTTCTGATCTAGCAGAACTGCTTAATTCTCCCAACTAATGCTCATTAATGTATAAATCCTTCTAGATTGTAAATTGGCTTACAATAATTGTATGTCAGGTATGATTCTCTTCTCTTTCAGCTTCTTTCCATTCTTTCTCCCTGCTTCTATGTCAAGCATTTTTTTCCTTTTATGACCACCTTTCTGCTATTCAGTTTGTCTTGTACCATTTCAGACTGTTTCCACAGATTGAAAATCAGTTGTTTTACATCTTGGACTTGCTAAATGTCTTTTGGACCAGGCCTGTAAAACTGCTAGACCAAGGGATTAGTGACAGTTTTACAGTCTTTTGTTTTGTCATCCATCAGGGCTGGACACACACATTTATATCTTTGGAATTTTAGCTTTCCACTTCTGTGATTTACAGCTTATTTCCCAGATGGAATTAAATTATTCTGTCTGATGACATATTTTTGTATCTGAAGAATTCTTTATTTGAATTGTAGAAAACAACTTCATTTTTTTAAAAGTCCATCAGACAGGTACTGTTGGTCAGCTGTCTTTTGAACTTCCTCATGTTACTGGCTTCTTTGCTGGCCTTTCCCAGCCTGGAAGAACAGATCTGTAGTGGTGAGAGTAGTTGTTTGTTGGTATTAGTTGAGATAGCCTTCTCTGGATTCTCTGAAAGGCTGGTTGTATCAAATTATGTAGATGGAATTTGTGTTGTAGAATCCTGTCCAAAGGTAAGTGGGCTGAGGTTATCCAATTTATTTCACTTGAGACTCGAAGTTGGGTTTGAAAACTTTGCCAGAGATCGAAGGTGAGCTCTTTCTACTGGCTTCTTGCCTTGTCTACATATTTTGATACATATATATATATGTTGTGTCTTTGTGCAGATTTTAGGGCAGCAGATTAATGACTTTACCCTTCCTGATGTTAACCTGATTGGAGAGCACTCAGATGTTGCAGAGCTTGGAAGAATGCTTCAGCTCATTTTGGGATGTGCTGTGAATTGTGAGCAGAAGCAAGGTAATCAATTTTAAATATATATTATTCTCTCTGTGTAGTTAATGCAAGTCAGACTTGCTATATAAATGATGTGGGGAAAATGGTGTGTCTGGGATTGTTGTCAGAGGCACAGTTTATTTTTCTGTGGGTCATGACTTCATTTTGTCTTATTGATGATGGTTGACATCACATTACAAGCTTCACTTGAGTTTGCAAGCTAGAACTGTGGAGCTGGTTATGTATGCTTCTGATGTATATATTTCCTTTTGGTTCCATGAATAGAAATGAAAAATAGCTTCACAGATGAAAATTACTGAACCCAGCTTTTAGTTATTAATTATTGTGGGAAGGCTCAGTTGCAGATTCTTACCTGGGTAATTACAAATTCATAGACAAGATACACATTGCACACAAAAAAAATGGTTATGATATAGGTTTGGGAGCCATATGCTATAGGATCTGGATTCTGCTCCCACCTCTGACACTTGCTCCCACCTTGGGCACATGACTTAAAACTCTCTGGCCTTTTCTACTCTTGAGAATTTGCTACCCACTCAGTGGTTTCCCAGCATGCCTCATATCCATCAACAAATGAGTCCTTAGCAGGTACTATAAAATCAGCTGATATTGGAACTTACAAATATGAGATCCAGGAAGAGGAAAAACAAAGGGCATATATTCATGAAAATGCAACAAAGACAAGAGTAGAGTCTCTGGCCAGATGCACAAGGTACACAAAATGAGTCACTATTGAAAGGTAGGATGAGAATCCTGAAAATCATGGAAGGGCAGGACCTTATCTTGTATCGTGCCCTGGTCCTTCTATCTGGGAAAAAAGGGAGCTGCAACTGGAGGACAGACAGTTCCAGTGGGAATTATTGAGTGGGCATTTAAAGACAAAAATTATTACTTTGACCCAACTGTTAGGTTTCAGAGTAACAGCCGTGTTAGTCTGTATTCTCAAAAAGAAAAGGAGTACTTGTGGCACCTTAGAGACTAACCAATTTATTTGAGCATGAGCTTTCGTGAGTTACAGCTCACTTCATCGGATGCATACCGTGGAAACTGCAGAAGACATTATATACACACAGAGACCATGAAACAATACCTCCTCCCACCCCACTGTCCTGCTGGTAATAGCTTATCTAAAGTGATCATCAAGTTGGGCCATTTCCAGCACAAATCCAGGTTTTCTCACCCTCCGCCCCCCGCCCCCCCCCAAACTCACTCTCCTGCTGGTAATAGCCCATCCAAAGTGACCACTCTCTACACAATGTGTATGATAATCAAGGTGGGCCATTTCCTGCACAAATCCAGGTTCTCTCACTCCCTCACCCCCCTCCAAAAACCACACACACAAACTCACTCTCCTGCTGGTAATAGCTTATCCAAAGTGACCACTCTCCCTACAATGTGCATGATAATCAAGGTGGGCCATTTCCAGCACAAATCCAGGTTTTCTCACCCCCTCACCCCCATACACACACAAACTCACTCTCCTGCTGGTAATAGCCCATCCAAAGTGACCACTCTCTTCACAGTGTGTATGATAATCAAGGTGGGCCATTTCCTGCACAAATCCAGGTTCTCTCACCCCCTCACCCTCCTCCAAAAACCACACACACAAACTCACTCTCCACAGCTGCCTATTGCCAATATCAGTCAGGACAATAGTAGTTAATGGTTTGCCCCCTTAACTTACAAGCCCCCTTTCCATAGCTACTCCACCCATGGGAAAGAGCATAGAAAGGAAAATGTGTATCCAGACAAGATGCCCTTCCAACAGGGATAACTGTATTATCCCTGTTCTTGTACATAATTTGCAGTTTTTGACACTGCAACTGGCCTACAAGCTTGTTTGTATTACAACTGAGTACTTTGCACATCAGTGATGATTTTCTTAAATATCAATATTAGAATATATACTGCTTGGTCCTGAAATGACTCAAGTTTTTGAAAATGTCTCCATCTTTCACTTGGCCTGCCAGCATATGTGCACACGCATGGACCTTTAGAAATGTCTTGCAAGCCTTGCATCATTACTTGGAAGTTTGGCTTTTTGTTACTGTGCTCCTGGGTTTATTGGGGTGGGGTCTGGACACTGACTGGGCACAAGTCCCAGGAATGGCACCTGCACAATTTGCAGGAGAGAGGCGGCTATTTACCCCTTTGTTCTGTTTGACCATCTTAAGTTTAAGTGTAAATAATGACATGCAAGAATGTTCTTGTTTTCAGAGTACATCCAGACCATCATGATGATGGAAGAGTCTGTTCAACATGTTGTCATGACAGCTATTCAGGAGGTATGCTGAAGTGTCCATAATATGTAACAATTCAGCTTTTCAATTCAGTACCGGAATATACTTTTTCTCAGTTTTGTTAACTTCAGTATAAAAAAATAATAGCAGAGGCATGGAATGTAACATTTATAAAGTTAGAATAAGGAATGTTTTCCTCTTTTGATTAGGGAAAACAGAGTTTTGCTAATCAAGCCTTATTTATATAATAGAATTCAGGCAAATTCCCACTTTTCTTTAAATCTAGAAGATTAAACTTCTAGATATTGATACAGGGTTCCCCTTCCTTTACCTCTCCTTTCCTATGGCTCCTAACAACACACTATATTTTGTTGTGTAAGTAGCAAAACAAGTACTGTAGAACGTCATTCATTTGCACCTAGTAACGGGGAGACTCATTGAATTTCTGAATTTTGTAAATGGGCAAGTAAGTGAACAAGTATAGTGAAAAGAGGAAATGCATTGCAAAATATAGTTTCTCATTTGTTAGCTGTTGTCTAGTTTTTAGTTTTAATTATTCCTGGTAATACTTCATAGTAGTCAATAAATGTACTGTAATATGTTTTGTAAAAATAACATCATTTTAGTAACATGAGACCTCACAAGAGCATTTGTTCTTAAAGCTGAGAAGTGGGGAAAGGCCACCTTTTTTGGTAAGCTTAGCAATGTTTAGTTTAGATCAGCAAGTTGACTATATACAGTTTTTTTAAGGAATGATTTCACAATCTTGCTTTAACTGATGAGTCATGCTGAGACACTAGATGGAAGCATAGCAGAAAGGAAGCAAATACAGTGAAATCTGTTGTTAATGGCTGCCATTACTTCTTCCAAGTTTTGGCTATTGAAACAGGTGCCTGCCTAATACAGGGATACTCAGCTCAGTAGGACTTCCGTGCCTTAGTTCTGGGTCTTGCCTATGGGGCTTTAGCTAATAGTGCCTTAGCTGAGACCCAACGCTATAAAGCACTTTTCTGATTCAGATGGAGCAACTCCCTTCAAACCACTTTAGTAGCTCAACCTCACTGACATAAAAGCAGCCGAGTGGCCTCTTGTGTGACCGGAAACAGGTTTCATGGATGGTTTGTTACTCAGAACAAATTAATGTGAGAGAGACAGGAAATCTAAAAGGGGCAGAGATTTTGCTGACCTCCAAAGTAAATGTTTTCTTGGCACATGTTCCACAAGAAGGCAAAAGTTCACTAAGGTCTTTGCCAATATGTCTTTCTTTCCCAATCCATAACTGATGATCAGTTTAACTGATGTTAACATAACTGATGATCAGTTTTGCATGTTAGCAAAAATCACCATGTTTAAGCATCTAATTCCACTTAGATCTTGATAAATCAGCAGTTGAACACTAAGCTGTCTTCAGTGTGATAAATTCAGATTTGTCTACCAGTATATAAAATGTGTTTTTCCTACAGTTCCCAAAAAGGGAAATAAATGATACAGAGCCAAAGGTTGCTCAAGTCTTCATCATGACTTGTCTCTGCAATCCATAGTCTAGGAGTCATATGAACTGTTTGATGACCATGGAACCATGTAGAGTACTAAAACTGGTAGGGGCAAGCACACTTGCTTCTCAGATTTAGTATTCTGGAAATGAGGGTAAAAAAAAACCAAACCCCTCCCCCTAGATTATCTTTCATTCCCTGTCCTTCCCTAAGCCAGTGCTGTCAGGGAGTCAGTTCCTGGTTTCCTGACCACGTGGGTATTTTTGGCAGTTTTTGTGCATGTGTGTCTCCTTTTCTCTGTCCCCCTCCCCAATTTGTTTTGATAGGATTTTTTATAGCTGTCTTTTATTGGTCCCCAGTTTTTAGTAGCACTTTCCACTCTGCTACAGTGGACAAAAAATAAGTTTGTATTCAGGAGATGTGTTCCTTAATCTAATAAGGTATCCATATTAATAATCATGCCCATTGTTTAATGGCTTAATGAAGCATTTGTCCAGTGGCTATGAAGCTTTTTCAGTATTTGTGCCCTGTGCCAAGAAAAAAGTGACACCACAGGCTGAGGGCTCTCCTTTGGAGGGGTCTTTGAAACTCAGTTCATCAAAAGAGCTCCTTTCCAAGTAATACTCCGGATTGAAGTGGCTTGACTCTATCATTCAAAGAGTTTAGAAGACTGAGGAATTCAGAACCAAGTGGAGAGTTCTGAGATGCTTATTCAAAAATCTTCAAAACCTTCTCAGAGTCAAGAGTTCAGGTCCCAGGAAAATCTTCAGAGCTGCAATCTCCATCTTTGGCGAAAAACATAGCTGGGTGGGCAACAGATAAAGAGTTATTGCCAAAGAATTGTGTTCTTATTTTGCCTCAAGTAGGTAGCCTCTATGGGTCCTAGAAAGTTCAAAAGGTTTAGGGTCTTCTTGGATCCAGGACATTCAGAACTTTTTCATGGTCTGATGGACTGCTTGGAACAGACCTCTGCAGAGGGATTTGAGTGACTCAAGTATGTGGAGGAGTCACCAAATGAAGTGCTGATACGATGGCCATGTAGACAGGTGAGAAGTGTAGGTATTGCATACCTACATCATCCAAGCATTGCAAAACTCTTTCCATGCAGTTAGACTGTCTTAAGTATTAGTTACATAAAAAGACCTGTTAAATAAATCTTTCTACTGTATTGCATAGTTTATTTTTCTACTTCAGTTAAATATATGTAAATGCTTATAGATGATATTTTATTAATTTATACACAATAAGTAATACTGCTCATGGAAACGTGTTTCACACCCCAGCAGAACTGGCCTATCTATCACCTGTAATAGCCTATACCTAAGGTGGTATTTTTTTCTGCGAAATGGTAATTTCACATGTGAAATTTTGTACAAGAAAATGAATTTAAAAGAATCTTCATTTTATTTGAATTTCCTTTGCTTTTGAACAACTGTATACTTTATCCAAATTTTTTAAGTAAAACCCCAAGCTAAAAAATAAATGGAAAATCTTTGTTTCTTCAGGTAGATTCTGAAACATTTCAAACACCTTATAAACCCGGTATAAACCAAACAGTCCCTTGCTAGTCTGTTCATTTCAATGGAGCTGAATTCATGTGTTTCCAGCATTGAGATTCTAAGGCCCTTGCAAACATTCATGCACATAAGTAGTTCCATTGAACTCATAAGTTTGCAGGATGGGGGCCGAAGTGTGTGGTTTTCAAAGCAATGAAAAATCTAGTATAAAGTTTTTCAATTTCACATTTTACACAGATTGATTTTTCATGGCAAACAAAAATTTAATATTTCCCATGAAATCTATTTCTGTGACAATACAGCTTTGCAATTGCTTCATAATGCATCTGACAAATTATGCTGTTCTTTTCCAAAGCCTCATATATAAATAGTCATTTGGAAGGTTGATAGTTCTTTACCAATAAATAGGAAAACACCTTCATTTCCTAATAACGAAACGTAGAGACTTTATAACAAGTTCCTTTTCCCCTTCAATAAGCATGTCCACCAGACCATCAAAATAAGATCATGCTCTTTACTGCAGAGTACTTGAGGCAGTTTCAAACCTGTCTGAGGTTACATAGCAAGAGGGACTTGCTCCTTAGATTGGTCCCAAAAATGTTGTTTTCACAGAGATAGCAAATATCAGTTTTCCTGTGTTTCAGCCTAATTATTTTCAAGGTTCATTTTGTCTTCAGTCAGAACTATTCTTTGTAGAGGCTGCTTTATGGAATAATCAGTGATGGTGGAAAAAGTCAAAAGTCATACCATACTAGAAGTTGTAGAAGATGTTAGATATACCATTGGGTCTCTTGAAAATAAAAAATCTCCAGAAAACAGATAGCTTAGTCTGACAAAGGGAAATAAAATTAGCATGCATCTATGCAACAGCAGTATCAAACATCTTCATGTTATGACATAATAAAATAAGCTGCAAATTACGTTTATAGAATAGAGAGAGAACAGTCGTGTATGATAAACAAGAAGAATCAAGTGCATGTTTCTAGGGCCTTCATGCATACATCTCATGATAATCTTAGTTGCCAACCTTGTATCCATGACAACACTAATAACTCAGCCCTCATGAGCAAACCAGTTAAAATTGGATAAAGGTTTTAATAACACCTAGCACGGTTATATATATTTATTTTTGTAATGCTGCTTGTCATAACTGTGGGCATGAAAAAGGTGTAATTAGAATAATAAAAGGAATGCCAGATATTTTCTATAAAAATATTAAAATATAAACTGATTAAATGAACTTGTAGTCCAGATTGTTTCGCCTGTGCTTTTAAGATCAGGGATCTGTTACCTCTCATTTATCAAAGAATAGGTTAATTGGGGGAAAATATTAGAGGTTTCTGTAGGCTGAATCATGAAGGATGGGTTGAAATTAAAGCTCGGATCATATAATTCTTAGTAAAGCATTTTATATAGCTTCTTGTGAAGTCTTATAAAAATCAAATTGTCTTGGTTAGGGATGCTGTCATAGTGAGACTGAAAACTAATGGCTGGTCTGTTAAAAGGTTATGATAGATGGCATCTGGGCAGGGGAGATGGCTTAAGTGGGCACCACAGGGTCAGTGTTGGGTTCAGTCTTAACATCGTCATTAATGATCTGGAAGAGAATATAAACAGCCACTAAAAAAATCAGGTGATTGGAAGGTGGTGTGAATGCCTCTGAGGAGAAAGGAAATAATACTAAGGGGCCTAGCAAGGTTAGAACTTTTTGGCAGGGGACTACAAAATGATATTCAACTTAGAAAACTAAGGCAATAAATTAGATACGAGTTCACAACGATATGGTTTGTGGCAATGAAAAAGGCCATTAACTTGGCATTGCAGAAACACCAAATCACAGCACAGGGACTTTATAATCCCTCTTCATAAGAATTTGCGCTCTGTAGATGGAATATTTCATTTCTGAGCAGGTTGTCACCAGAAGGTTGTAGATAAACTGGAAAGAATTTAGTGAAGAGCAACAAAAATGGTCAATGGCTGGAGGGATTTTGGAGATAAGATTGACTATGCCTAAATATTTATAGGTTGGCTAAATGACAGCTAGAGAGTGGGGTGCAAAAGTGTACAAATATGTGAATGGCATGAATGTTGAGGATGGGGAGCAATTTGTTACTGTGCATTGTAATGTAACCAGAAGTTATGGGGTGGCATTTAATCAAAAGAAAACTGAGTGCTAGGTAGCAGAAGAAATTATGACAATGAGCTGTGTAACTATAGAGTGGTCATCAACAGAATGTAGTGGAAGTGGGCTGTGGAGAGATTTTTAACCCCAGGCTGGATGAAGCATGAGGAATTACACTGAAGGGAACAGTCTTGCATTGGAATCAGGATTGGTTAGATGTATGGTTAGATTGGTTAGTCCTTTTCATTTCTAATTTCTATTATTCCTGTAATAGAAAAAACATACCAAAACATGAGTATGTTCTAATAATCCCCAAAACAAGCAGTACAGTAGTACTTGTTTTGGGGTTAATGTCAACATAATTAATTATTTTTATCTGTATATTACTAGTATGTATCTCAGTCTTAACTTCTGTCTTAACATAGTTTTTTTTTCCCTCTCAATCTGGGAATTTCCTTTTGCACTGTTTTTATATTTGAACTCCCCTCTAGCCATTTTGATATTGTAAAAGATTGGTTGTGTGTTCAGAAAGAGGATATATTTTCTTATCTGCTAATTTTTTCCTCTGGAGAAGCATCTCAGCCAATCTGGAGCCTCCCTAGAAAGCTATAACTAAGAAAGATATATGATTCTCTCTTTCCACCAACCCTAAAAAATCCACAGGTTATGTTTCTCCAAACAATATAGTTCGATTAATATATCATGCAACTTGTAGTGTTTCAGTTTTGAAAATATTCATTTCGGAGCATGGGCTCTTAACCTAGAAATTGCAAACAAGTCAGGAGGGAGAGTCATAATCTGCACCTCTTTTTTTTTTTTTTTTTTTTTTAATTAAATGAGAGGAGCAGGGGCCCCAGATTTTTTGTTTTGGTGTTACATGGGGTCAAAGTATGAAAAAGGTTGAGAATCACTGTTAGAGTGAAATTTCCGGAGTAGATCTTTACTGCCATATGGATTGCTGCCAGTATTCTGCAAAAAGCATCCCGAGATTTTCATGATGAATGATAGACAGGCATGCTTTTACAGAGAGAAATGTACCAGATAAGATTTTTTTTTCATATTCCTTTAGAGTGTTTGTCCTGCAGATTTATAATTCTCTCTGTATACCATACATAAAAATGTGATGTGAAAACGTAAGGCTTTATCTTCAGAACAAACCTTTCTTAAGTTTAAGATTGATCTGGGTTTTTTTATGAATGAAAACTTAGCTTTTAATATACAAATAAATCTTTTGCTTTTTCTAATCCAGTGTAATCTAATTGCAGTTGATGAGTAAAGAATCTCCAGTCTCTGTTGGAAATGATGCTTACGTTGACCTTGATCGTCAGGTACCTAAGACCAGATGTTTCTTTTTCTTTAATCATAGGAAATCAGTGTGCAGTCAGTCTGGTATATGGTATGTTGTAAGCAGGCTGCCTCTTCTTCTTCTTCTTCTCTTTTTTTGAAAGTCTTTTGGGAAGATTCAAACACAGGAACACACATTCAAAGTTTAAATGTAATATTTTTTCTTTGTTAAAGTACGATTTTTTAAAAGACAGTCAGTTAATCAAAAGTTGCAATTACATATATTTATCTGTGGCTTATGTCAATCAGTAGTATGTGCTACATTTAAATAAGTAAATAAAAGAACATTGGTATGTATAATTCTGAATGTGATTGTTCACAATGCATGTGCAGAACAAAAATATTTATTTGGAAAATAAAATTCATTATAAGCATTATGAATAGTTTGTAGCTATTATGCTCAAAACTGGCATTATTTCTGACATAGCAAAAAGTGAAGACCTCACAAGTCACAAGATAATCAGGAAGAAACTAAATAGAATTAGTAACATTTATTAGCTGTAGACAAAACTTTTTTGCCCTAGCCAACTCTCTCTGAAGTCAATAGAAAGATATTACTTGGCTTTGGTGGGTTAGATCAGGCTCAAATATCCTTGTGGCAGTCCTGGGAACTGTTGTGAATTTCCTACTTTGAGAAATTTTGGGAAAATTCCTCAGTGGCTGAAGTATTTGTGAAAAATGCTGGACCAAATGTACATCAGCTATTGTGTGTGCATTTTGAGAGCACATTCTGTCATCTGTGTTGTGTTTCTACAGCCTCAACCACAGTCCCTAAAATGGTAGAGGGATAATCTGGAGAATGGTACTGTGTTTAATGAATCATTATATTGTAAGTTATCTGTGTGGCCATACATACTGTCTAAGAGATGGAGTTCATTTTTATATGTCAGCTGTCCCTTATAAACCTGAAAAATGAAAAGGATGCCATTCTCTACAATAGATTGGATCGTCGAGAGAAGTAGGAGGCCCTTGTAAGGCTTCTAAGAATTCTTGACATGTATTCCAAAAATACATAGTGTCTTTGTGCTTGCTTCTCGGACTGATTTTCTTTGTATGTACTTAATTTTACAATCCTAGAGAAACTTGGAAGCCATAAATCTTTCCGTTATTATAAAGTCCTTTAGAGACATAACTGAATAAATGTATATGTTAAATGATGTCATTCAGATTTAGACTTTTCCTCTACCACAGCAATTGTTTCCCCTTTGTGCTGCAAAAGTAGTGTACCCAGTGGCTAGACAGGTTTTACCTTAATTGTCTATTCCTTGTAATCCATCTCCCAGTCCTTTGTGTATTTGCAAACATCGTGAAAACTGAAACTATTCACTCTTTGTAAAGAAAAGTGGTGTTGACAGTTTTTTAAATGTACAGAGGTGGTATACCTTCCAACATTCAGGTTGTGTGGGTTCTTGAGCTCAACATGGAGAATGAAAATGATTGCCTTAATACTTTGTCTTGGAACAGAGCATTGCCTTCAGCTATGTTCATCTCTCACATATGAATTATCTGAGCTCTTTAATGATAAGTGCCCCTTTGTCTTATTATAAAAGTAGAATAGTCAATGATTTTTTTCAAAATAAATAAATATGAGCATAAAAACATACTTTACAGTGATGATATTATTCAACATCCTTTATGGTTACAGAGAATTACATGTATTATAGTAATGTTATTGTGAAAATAAAAATGTTTATATTAATTTTAAATAGTTGAAGAAAACTACAGAAGAATTAAATGAAGCCTTAGCAACAAAAGAAGAAATTGCTCAGAGGTGCCATGAATTAGATATGCAGGTAGGTAGTTTATTATATGTGCACAATAAATTTATGGAAATTGTGGAGTTAGATTGAGAAAGAAGGGGCATGGTGACTCTAAGGCAGCTGAAGAAAGGAGGCAGCTTGGAGACTGGTCTTTTTAAAAGTATACTCAGAAGTTGTACTTCTTTAACTATACCACTTTAGTTATAAAAATACAATCCGCCTGAGTGTGATTGCAGTATAAAGGGGCTTTATACTAGTATAGCTGTTCTCATACAGGAAGGGAATATGCTATATTGGTATTATAGCATTAGGAGTTGTACAGGTATAACTATTTGTGGAGGGGGGGGGGGGAGTCGTGCCCCTTACCAAAATAGTTACACCAATACAAAAATTGTGTGAAGAACATGTCTTGGGTCATCTTTTTTGAGTAAATTGAGCAAACTTGATCTGGAAGACATGAAGAGAATAAACCTGGAGCTCAGAAATGATGTTTTATCAAAGTCAATTTTCAGAGTAAAAGTGCGCTTTAATAAGATTTTATTACAGCACACTAACATTTTGGTTTCGAAGGTAGACTAAGACTTTAATGTATTAGTCTTTTTGTTTGATAACTGGCTAAATTGTGTTTGGTTTTAGATGTCTCTAATAAACATAATTTAGAATCTATATTCTTAAAAATTAATGTTGTTATGCCCCCATTGTTATAATACCTTGGGTACATCACATAGCAATTGGATAAATATTAAGGCTAGGATGTGTTGCTCTCATATAAGTTTATTAAAAGTCTATCTATCGCCAGTTATGGGTCATATTAGCTCCATCACTTGCACACAAGTTTTGCTCTTTAAGCTGACAATTTCATTGTTCCAGTTTTGCAATTTTGTTGTAACAGGTTGCAGCACTTCAAGAGGAGAAAAGTAGTTTACTAGCTGAGAACCAGATCCTGATGGAACGTTTGAACCAATCTGATTCTATAGAAGATCCCAACAGCCCTGCAGGGCGAAGGCACCTGCAACTACAGACACAGTTAGAACAGCTCCAGGAGGAAACATTTAGGTAAAGAGATCCAGAGTTGGTAAATTTCATTTCAAACTAACAGACTTCTTATGAAGTATTCCAGAAAGCAGATATTTCTTTTTAACTAGTAAACATTTTGTTCCTATTGGCAGTTATGTTGAATTATTATATTGGGTGCTCATAATGACTGCTGTAGTTAAGTTTACAAATAAGTTGCCATTATGACCCATCTTTTTATAAGCTTAGATTTTATGAACATTTTGCTTTTTAGGCTGAAATTTTCCATGCTTGCTGTCTGCTCAAAGTAGTAGTTTAAAAATCTGTATGTAATCCCTTCAGACATTTTTTAGCTCAGTGAGGATAAAATATATAGACTTACTTCTAACCACTGTTCTGGACAAGATTACCTCAAAACCAAGAAATTCCCAGTTGAAAGGTTGGTATGGAGAGTGTCATTAATAATAGAGTGTTTCCTCAGCTAAGTTTGAAAAAACAATTTTTTGTGATTTACTCAAAGATAAAAGCAGTGCTTGAGAGAGCTCCACTCCCACTCACATTTCCTCCACTACCACTTTGTTTTTTCCTGCCTCAGCTCTGCTTTGTTCTTTTCCAAATAATTCTTTCTCTTCCCTCTTCTAGTTCTGTGCGTCTAACACCTGACAAGTTATCCACCACATTTAACTACATAAGCCTCCTACTCTGTCCCCTTCCTCTGTTTCTACTATTTCTGCTCAAGATGATGCCACTTTCAATAAGGGCAAAATCAACAACCTCTCTTATTCTCTGGGGCCAATCCCACCATCTCCTCCTTTGCCCCATCTCTGATTCTGACGTCTTTTTTCAATCCTTTTCTTACCTCAGAACCAGTGGCTTTGGTCCAGTCTTTTCCCACTGCTTCATTTCTCTTAGCTGCTGTCCCTCTGTCTTGGTTCCTTCCCCTCTGTGTTCAAACATGCTCTCATTTTCCACTATCCTAAAAAAAAATTCACTGTATTTTATGTTACTCCAACTAGTGTCCTTTTCCCTCCTTACATCCACATTATGTATGAGTAGTGTACACATATTCCTGCTAATTAATGCTTTGACTCTCTTAAGTCTTGACATCACTATCTTCATTCTGCTGAAATTGTACATACCACATTCACTAATGACCACTTCCTAGTTATGCTGATCAGCTTCTTCTTTTCTCTTTCATTTTCTGCACTTTCTTTCATTCTGTTGATCAGTTCATTCTCCTCCGCACACTTCTGCTCAGGTCTGCCCCTGCTAGTTCTCCTTTTAGAATATTGACCTGTCCTTAAAGAGTTTTTTCCTTGTGGCCTGTTCCGTTGCCACCTCTCCATCTATCCTCCAGGACTCTGCCCTCGGTGTCCTCTTTTCTGCACTCTCTACATTATGTCTTTCAAGTTTAATTCTCAAGCCTGTGTGACATACTACTACTGGAAACTCCAGTAAATCAGATTTAAAGTGGTTACAGCCTCATTGGTACCCAGTGTATCTGGGCTGAATTCAGAGCATCATGTCTAAACCTGTTCTCTTCCCACCCAAAACCTCTCCTCTCCTCTCTTCTCTGTCCATGACATCATCAGCCTTCTTGGTCTGTCAGTCCCGGAAACTGTGTGTCATTTTTTATTTTCTTCTTTCTCTTGCCGCTCCCATTGACCATATCTTGTCTCAGATCTTGTAACCCCTTTCTCATTGGTCTCATTAAATAAACTGCTGCTCTCTCTTGCCTGACCCATCCCCTTCTTAGCTACCTTTACCGGCTTTCATTTTCTTTTTGTATCAAAGTCATGCTCTTCTTTCTCACTTCCAAGGCTCCGCACAGCTTTGCCTTGCCTATGCTATCTCTTCCTCCCCCCAAACAGGATGCTTCACCAAAATTTCTCTTGATTATTCCCAGCATCCCTTCGCAGTTTCATGCCTTCTTTCACATTGCCCTCTGTGCTTGGTACCGCTCCCGTTTAGTATTTACCATGTGTTGGAATTATTAAGAATATTTGAATTAATATTAATATGGTAAACCACCAAACACTAACTTAACTATAAATTCCTTTATTAAAGTGAAAGGCCAAATGGTATGTATACAATTGCTTTAAACATGCCTAAAAAGCCTAGATACTAAGCAATTTACTACATCCAAACAATAACAAAACATTTATAAGCCTTTGATCAAGGTACTTACAAACGGGTTAAAGCTGGGGTGCTTGGTCCCACATTGATCAACTCCAACCTGTTCAGGTGGGTGTAAGCAATGGGTCCTGTAAGAGTTTACTTTTTATACCCTTTAACAAACAAGTGATGTCACTGCCAATTACTGACTTCAGGTAACAACCAATTTGAGACAGTTCACTCTTATTTCCAGTCTTAATCCAGATAAGATTTACAACCTCCTTTTTTCCCCAAGGCCTTTCCTCCCATAACTGCGGTCCAACAGTTTGCCCATTGCGCTTGAGTTCACACAGGCTTTACCACTGATGCGTGGTTGGAGAAGGGCCTTGTTGGCTCACTTTAAGACAGAATCTTTGTTTTATTTAAAACCATCTGCAGTCGCCCCTATTGGCCAAAGGTCATCTTTTTAGAAACTTCCTTTTATCTCATTAGTTATTCTTTGAACCAGACATCCTCTCTGCTTTATTCCTTCTGACCTTCTAACTTATTTTCAAGGCCTTCCTTCTACTTCCTAGTCAGGGCATTTCTTTACAGCACATTTTTCTTAACCAAATTTAAGCTAACTCTAATTCTTTAATTTCATATTTATCCTACACCATGCAACCTCTCTCCTTCAAAAACCTGAACAACCATATTTTACATTGTGTTCCATCTATTAAAGAGCACACCCCACTTCTACTGTATCCTATTATATTCTCTTATGCATTTATGGTATAATTTCTTAGGGAAGAGGCTCTGTTATTTGTTCAGCACATTTTGAATGTTGGCCAAAATGGGATCTTTTGGAGGTGCTGAACATCCGCAGCTTCCATTAAAAAACGGCCACTTATGTGGCTGCCCAAATGTGGATAGAGTATGTTGTTTAAGGTACCTGCATTTGGAAAATGTTGACCATTGTACATAATCCTGCTTATGCTGGGATAAAACAAAGTGTAAATGTAATCCTCTTTGTGCGCCAGAAAAGATTATATTTTTGTGCCCCAGGCATTCTGAGAGGAGTGTTTTAGCAAAGATTTTCAGTAGCATGTGAAAGCCTTAGGATTTCTTTCTTTCAAATAAAACTATGATGGAAAGTATACATCTCCTTGTTGCACTGCAAGGCAGAGTTGTTGATGACATTGACTTAGAAGCATGTGTACCCATAAAACTGGAGCTACCTCCACCTCCTTGAAAATGTAAGAGAAACTGGCAACATGATGATGTTCATTGGCTTTATTTTTTATTGTCTCAAAAAGTTGCTATGAAGGAAGAAGGTAGCAGTGGTCTGTGGTTAGAACATAACCTTTCTTATCTACTGTTTTATTTCAATTCTGTAGGCTAGAGGCAGCCAAAGATGATTATCGAATACGTTGTGAAGAGCTGGAAAAAGAAATTGCAGAATTGCGACAGCAGAATGAAGAGCTAACCACTTTAGCAGAAGAGGCTCAGTCTTTGAAGGATGAGATGGATGTACTTAGGTAAACTATTATTCTAACCCAGTGGTCCCCAGAGTGGTGCCCATGGGTGCCATGGCGCCCGCCGGGGTATTTTTTTGCACCCGCAGGACACCGCACCGCTGAAATGCTGCCGCTGGGTGTGGCCGCAGGAGAACCGTCTGTCGAAATGCCGTCGAGAAGCGTTGCCATTTCTCAGCAGCATTTCGGCTGCGACACTTCTTGCTGCTGCCGCTTCTCGGCGGCATTTCGGTGGCAGGGTGTCTGGCACCCGCCATAGTCTTCTGGGAATAGCAATATGTTATTTCTACAGAAAGGTTGGGGACCACTGCTCTAACCATTAGGATGTATATTTCTTTTTATTCCTAAAACAACATTTGTACTATCAATTTATCTCCATTAACATTCATGTAGTTTCAAAATTTTGCATACATTAAAGTAGTTTATCAACAAGCACCAAAGTGCATCCAGTTACCATCAAAACTATGAGGTTGCGAATTTTTGGCAGTCAAGCAACCTGATCTCACATCATTAAGCACTGTATATGTGGCATTGCCACACTATCAGTATTATGGTTGCAGTAGCCCTTCATCATTATAAGCCCCTGTTTTAAGGCATTTACAACTTTTTATAAAAAATTATCCTTTGGCCTGAAATGTCTTTTGTTTGTTCATAACCAAATGGTAAATTTCTTTGAAAAATTTGATAAAATTCTCTTTGGCTATGTTTCTAAATTGTGATATTCCGCAATGAGAGCTGTTTATTCAAAGGTGAGCATTATAAATTGAACCCCATCCTGCATCCATGTTCCTAAAATTCTTAATCTAATCTACTAAACTGCCACTGCGTGAGAAGGGCACAGGCTGCCCTGTAAATGGGCATAACAGCTCTTTGTGTGTTCCACTCTGTTTTCTTTCACTGACAGTAAAGATGCTCAAGTCTTTCAGATTTTTTAATTTGTTTTAAAAACAATTAATCTGTTGGTAGGCATGAAAACAAGAGCAGATGCAGGGATAGTATTGAAAGGCTGCCTGAAAGAAGTGAGTTTTGAGGCTGGATTAGGAGTCTGAGGTGGAGATTGCCTAAGAGAGAGGATGGCATGAAAATAGTTAGAACTGGATACAGAAACAGACAAGAGGACAGTAATACATTCAAGCAGAAAGAGTGATATCATTGGAAACTACCTCATTTTGGGTAGGTTGGTGAGGGGAGAAGCAGAGAGGCTAGCAAAGAGAAAGCCAAGAAACATAGCAGTGAGGATAAGTTGTTAGCTTTCTTATGCTCCTCCTGGTGTTTGGAAACCATTTCTGTATTGAGTTTAATACTGAGGAGACTTCAGAGCGCTTATTATGTTAGCATTTTGAATATTATTATATATTATTTGTATTACCATAGTGCCTAGCAGTCCTACCCATGGACCAGGCACTGTAAAAACAAAGAACAAAAAGATGGTCCGTGCCCCGAAGTTTACAGTCTGAACAGGTTTGATGCAGCTTCTCCTTCTCTATTCTCATCCAGGCATTCTTCTGATAAAGTGGCTAAGTTAGAAAGCCAGGTAGAGTCATACAAAAAAAAGCTGGAAGATCTTGGTGATCTGCGTCGGCAAGTGAAACTCTTAGAGGAGAAGAACACTATGTATATGCAAAACACTGTAAGCTTGGAGGAAGAACTAAGGAAAGCCAATGCAGCGCGTAGCCAACTGGAAACATACAAGAGACAGGTGAGAACAGAAATAGTTATTGCAATTGATTTGTTGATTTCTTAGCCTTTTCTGTTAATATTGGGTAATATCTCAAGAACTCATTCACTAGTTCCTTGAAGAACTCATTCATGTTCTATGTAAAGGATCTGTTTTATTGTAAATATCCCTCTCCCCCTAGCTTGTGTAGCTCATTATGTAGAGCTGGTGTAACTCCACCTACCAAGTAGGAAAAAAGTCAACAAGAGCTGGCTCTCTTGGATAGATAAAATATATTGATGGACTTGTAGATTTTCAAGGTCAAAAGGGAACACTGTGATCTTCTAGTCTGACTGCCTGCATAAAGCAAAGCATAGAACTTAGTTGAAGTAATTCCTGCTTCAAGTCCAATAGCTGTGGTTACACTAGAGCAAATCTTTTAGAAAAAATACCCAGTCTTGGTTAAAAAAATTTCCAGTGTTGGAGAATCCATCATAACCCTCGGTAAGTTGGTCTAATGGTTAATTACTCTCACTTTAAAATGTGCACATTATTTCTAGTCTGAATTTGTCTTTCAGCTTCCAGTTATTAGATCTTGTTATACTTTTGTCGACTAAATTGAATAGCCCATTATTACGTTTCTATCTCCCATGTAGGTATATATAGACTGATCAAGTCACCCTTTAACCTTATCTTGGATAAGGTAAATAGATTAAAGGAACTCAATCTTTCACTATAAAGCATGTTTCCCAATCCTTTAATCCTTCTCACGGCTCTCTGAAACCTCCAGTTTTTCAACAACGTTGTTGAAGTGCAGACACCAGAGCTGGACACAATATTCCAGTAGCAGTTGTGTCAGTTCATGCTCTGCACAGGCTCCACATCTTTTCCCCTCAATCTTCAGTGTCCTGTTGCTCCATGGAGCAAGCAGGTCAGCTCTCTGCACTGTCTGCATTTCCCGTCTCTGTTTCTTCTCCTGCAAGGAAGAAGGGAGAAGGTAAGAGGAGATTTGTTGAGATTCTTCCCTTGCCTGGTGATTAGTCTCTGTCCATCCCCTTGACCTGGTATACACTTTCGCAAATGCAGTTTGTGATAGGGAGTCTCCCATTAGTTTGTGACAGGTTTTTCTCAGCCCCAGTGCAGTGTTTGCTCTGAGTCTGCCTGGTTTGGACTCCTGGGGCTGGTCTACGCTACGAGTTTGTCGGATTTAGCAGCGTTAGATCGAATTAACCCTGCACCTGTCCACACAACGAAGCCATTTTTTCGACATAAAAGGCTCGTAAAACCGATTTCTGTACTCCTCCCCAACAAGGGGATTAGCGCTGAAATCGACATCCCCGTTTCGAATTAGGGTTAGTGTGGACACAATTCGAAGGTATTGGCCTCCAGAAGCTATCCCACAGTGCACCATTGTGACCACTCTGGACAGCACTCTGAACTCGGATGCACTGGCCAGGTGTACAGGAAAAGCCCCGGGAACATTTGAATCTCCTTTCCTGTTTGGTCAGGCGAGCTCATCGCACAGATGACCATGCAGTCCCAGAATCGAAAAAGAGCTCTAGCATGGACCGAATGGCAGGTACTGGATCTTATCGCTGTATGGGGAGAGGAATCCGTGCTATCAGAACTAAGTTCCAAAAGACGAAATGCCAAAATATTTCAAAAAGTCTCCGAGGCCATGAGGGCCAGAGGCTACAGCAGGCAACACAGTGCCACGTGAAACTTAAGGAGCTCAGAGTACCAGAAAACCAAGAATCAAACAGACGCTCCTGGACAGAGCCCCAGACATGCCGCTTCTATGCTAAGCTGCATGCAATTCTAGGGGGGACGCCACCACTACCCCAACCCAGTCCGTGGACTCTGATGATGGGGTACTCTCTGCCATGCCTGAGGATTTTGCGGATGAGGAAGATGAGGAGGAGGAGGACGAGCTTGTGGAGAGTACACAGCACACCGTTCTCCCCAACAGCCAGGATCTTTTTATCACCCTGACTGAAATACCCTCCTAACCCGGAGAAGGGACCTGTGGTGAGTATACCTTTTTTAAATACAATACATGTTATAAAAAGCAAGCGTTTTTTGATGATTAAGTAGCCCTGAGGACTTGGGATGCATTCGTGGCCAGTACAGCTACTGAAAAAGTCTGTTAACATGTTTGGGGATGGAGCAGAAATCCTCCAGGGACATCTCCGTGAAGTTCTCTTGGAGGTACTCTAAAAGCCTTTGCAAAAGGTTTCTGGGGAGAGCAGCCTTATTCCGTCCTCCATGGTAGGACACTTACCACGCCATGCTAGTAGCAAGTAATCTGGGATCATTGCATGACAAAGCCTGGCAGCGTATGGTCCCGGTGTTTGCTGGCATTCAAGCAACATCCGTTCTTTATCTCTCTGTGTTATCCTCAGGAGAGTGATATCATTCATGGTAATCTGGTTGAAATAGGGGAATTTAATTAAGGAGACATTCAGAGGTGGCCATTCCTACTGGGCTGTTTAACTGTGGCTGAAAAGAAATCCTCCCTGCAGTTAGCCATGCGGTGTGGGGGGGCCGTTGGCTCTGAGCTGTTTGCGTTTGGCTAGCAGGGATCTTCCCTGATACCAGCCACGCGGTGGGAGGAGGGGTAAAGTGATCATCCCAGAGAATTGAATGGGTGGGGTGCGGGGGGGAAGGTTCATTTGGTTTCTGCTGCTGCGTGTTAACAGGAAAACGGCAGCACTAAATGGCCAACTCAATGTTCTTTGCTTGGTATGGGAGAGAAGGGCGCTGCTGTTATGAAAGTTGCAGAAGCCGAAAGACTATGGCTTACCATGGCTGCTTGCAAGCCGAATTCTGTTGCCCGGCACTGCGTGTGTGATCTCTAATGCCAAAGCCGCAATATAAGATGCAAAATGCAACCTTGTACCAAAATCACATGTGCTGTGTAATGGGAATAGTGTTGTTCACCATGAAAGAGTATAGCCATTGTTCTGTAAAATGTATCTTTTTAAATACTTCACTCCCTTTTTTTCCTCCAGCAGCTGCAAATGTTTCAAGCTTCCCTCCTTCATCCCAAAGGCTATCTCAGATAAGGCGGTGAAAAAAACACATGTGCGATGAAATGCTCTCTGAGCTCATGCAGTCGTCCGGCACTGACAGAGCTCAGCAGAACATGTGGAAGGACACAGTAGCAGAGTACAGGAAAGTGGCCGATGAACGTGAGGAGAGATGGCGGCAGGAAGATCAGAGGAGGCATGATGCAATACTGGGGCTACTGCAGGATCAAACGGAAATGCTCCGGCGTCTGGTGGAGGTTCATGAATGGCAGTAGGATCACAGACTGCCGCTGCAGCCCCTGTTTATCCACCCTCCCTTCTCCCCAAGTTCCATAGCCTCCTCACCAGACGCCCAAGAATGCGAGGGGGAGGCTCCGGGCACCCAACCACTCCACCCCAGTGGAGAGCCCAAGCAACAGAAGGCTGACATTCAACAAGTTTTGAAGTGGCCTTTTCCTTCCCTCCTCCCACCCGGGCTACCTTGTGAGTTATCTCCCTATTTTTATAATCAATTAATAAAGAATACATGTTTTTTAAACGATAGTGACTTTATTTCCTTTGCAAGCAAGCTGTGATCAAAGTGGGGAGGGCGGGTGGCTTACAGGGAATTTAGAGTCAACCAAGGGGGCGGGTTTACATCAAGGAGAAACAAACAGAAGTGGCACGCAGTACCCTGGCCAGTCATGAAACTAGTATTCAAAGCTTTTCTGATGCGCAGCGCTTCCTGCTGTGCTCTTCTAACCGCTCTGGTGTCTGGCTGCGCGTATTCAGCATCCAGGCGATTTGCCTCAACCTCCCACCCTGCCATAAACATCTTCCCTGTACTCTCACAGAGATTGTGGAGCACACAGCAAGCAGTAATAACAATGGGAATATTGGTTTCGCTGAGGTCTGAGCGAGTCAGTAAACTGCGCCAGCAACCCTTTAAACGTCCAGATGCACACTTTACCATCATTCGGCACTTGCTCAGTCCATACTTGAACAGCTCCTGACTACTGTCCAGGGTGCCTGTGTACAGCTTCATGAGCCAGGGCATTAAGGGGTAGGCTGGATCCCCAAGGATAACTATAGGCATTTCAACATCCCCAACAGTTATTTTCTGGTCTGGGAAGTAAATCCCTTTCTGCAGCCATTTAAACAGACCAGAGTTCCTGAAGATGCAAGCGTCATGAACCTTTCCCGGCCATCCCAAGTTGATGTTGGCGAAACGTCCCTTGTGATCCACCAGTGCTTGCAACACCATTGAAAAGTACCCCTTTTGGTTTATGTACTAGCTGCCCTGGTGGTCCGGTCCCAAGATAGGGATATGCATTCCGTCTATAGCCCCACCACAGTTAGGGAATCCCATTGCAGCAGAGCCATCTAGTGTGACCTGCACATTTCCCAGAGTCACTACCTTTGATAGCAGCAGCTCAACGATTGCGTTGGCTAATTGCATCACTGCAACCCCCACAGTAGATTTGCCTACTCCAAATTGATTACCAACTGACCGGTAGCTGTCTGGCATTGCAAGCTTCCACAGGGCTATTGCCACTCGCTTGTGAAGTGTGAGGGCTGCTCTCATCTTGGTATTCTTGCGCTTCAGGGCAGAGGAAAGCAAGTCACAAAGTTCCATGAAAGTGCCCTTACGCGTGTGAAAGTTTCAGAGCCACTGGGAATCATCCCAAACCTCCAACACTATGCGGTCCCACCACTCTGTGCTTGTTTCCCAGGCCCAGAATCGGCATTCCACAGCATGAGCCTGCCCCAGTAACACCGTGATCTCCAAATTGCTGGGGACCATGGTTTTAGAGAAATCTGTGTTCATGTCCTCATCACCGTGCTGCCGTCGCCTCCTCACCTGGTTTTTCAGGTGCTGGTTCTGCATAAACTGCACGATAATGCACGAGGTGTTTACAATGGTCATAACTGCTGCGGTGAGCTGAACAGGCTCCATGCTTGCCATGTTATGGCGTCTGCTCGGGCAATCCAGGGAAAAGGGCACGAAATGATTGCCTGCTGCTGCTTTCATGGAGGAAGGGAGAGTTGACTGAGGACATTTACCCATAACCACCCGTGACAAATTTTTGGCCCCATCAGGCATTGGGAGCTCAGCCCAGAATTCCAATGGGCACTGGGGACTGCGGGAAGTGTGGGATAGCTACTCACAGTACACCGCTCGGAATGTCGACGCTTGCCACGGTACTGTGGACACACATCGCCGAATTAATGTGCTTAGTGTGGATGCAAGCACTCTATACAATCTGTTCCCAAAAATTGACTTCTGTAAAATCGGAGTACTTTCGTAGTGTAGACATGGCCTTGGGGATGTTTTTCGCTTCCCCTAAGTGCCAGCCCTAGCAGGTTACCTCGAGATGAGAGGATGTGTATTTCTCATCCTGCGTGCCATGGGAGGGGTAAGTACCCCTCTTGTTACCAGCACCCTCTGAAATGAAGGGAGTGTACATTTTCCAGTTTACTAAAGGTGAAGTGGAGTACTTTATTTCAAGATGGGTGGACAAAAGGTCCATACCTCTCTGAGGCAGCTTGTGCTTCTACTCTATATTGATCTGCCAGGACTTCATGCACATTAGCACTGGTGTCTGCACCTGATCGTACCTGTTCCCCCATTAACATGGGATGAGCCTTGGGCAATGGAAAGGGGTGTAGTAGTGAGAGAGAGAGCCTGGAGCACTGGGCCTGGGCTGAGGCCTGAACCAGAGGCTGTGAGCCAAAGTCAGGCCATATATTAAAGCAGATGCTTACGAGTTCACTGTCCAGTATATGAACTTGGCAACGTTGTTGCTAGTGAACTAGGCACTAGATATTTATGCAAATATATTCTAGCTAGTACAGCTACATCACAATCTAGTACAAGAGAAGATGGTTTGACAAAATGTATAGGGATGTTTCATCCAAGATATTAGGAACAAAGAGAGGTAACAAACAGATGTCATGAAATAAGCATGGTGGTACTTAGGTTCCTAAAAGACTGTTGTTTGTCTCAGTCTATAAATGTTGAGATACTTCGCCTTAACTCTTTTTCCAGCCTATGGGGTAGTGGCAAGTCTGACCACTGACTGAGCTGAATCCATTGTAATGAGCATACATGTTTTAATGTAACTGTAGGCATTGATCCAGGGAGCTAGTACAGTGCTTCATTGACAATAAACATGGCCAAGGGCCTTCGCCACCGAACCATGCCTGTGATTTTTCTTTGGGTAACATCGAGGTCTGTTGAATGAGCAGGTTGCTTTATCTGCTGCTAATAGTGATAACATTTGGAGCTCCAAGGATAGAAGCACTGAGCAACCTGGACAGTGTTACTGAGCAACAACATTCTAGCCTTCAACACTTAACCCTTGATGTTGAGGTTGGTTGAGCCGAGCTGAACTGTCTGAGCCGAGCTGAACAGCACACGCACACAAGCCAACTGACCACAAGGGGAACCTCATTCTTTCTGCCAAAGATATAAATAATTGGAAACAAAAGGTTACATGGAAAGTGTTAGGCAACCTTAACTTTAGGCTTTGCTACTGTTACGCTATAATTTTAAAACTAGGGCTGTCAAGCGATTAAAAAAATTAATCGCCATTAATCATGCTGTTAAACAATAACAGAATACCATTTATTTAAATATTTTTGGGTGTTTTCTACGTTTTCAAATATATTGATTTCAATTACAACACAGAATACAAAGTGTACAGTGCTCATTTTATATTTATTTTTGATTGCAAATATTTGCACTGTAAAAAACAAAAGAAATAGTATTTTTCAGTTCACCTAATACAAGTATGTAGCGCAATCACTTCAATGATAAAGTTGAACTTACAAATGTAAATTAAGTACAAGCTTATGTACAAAATAGAACTGCATTCAAAAATAAAACAATGTAAAACTTCAGCGCCTGCAAGTCCACTTGGTCCTTCCTATTTCTTGTTCAGCCAATTGCTCAGACAAACAGGTTTGTTTACATTTGCACGAGATAATGCTGCCCGGTTCTTGTTTACAATGTCACCTGAAAGTGAGAACAGGCGTTCGCATGGCACTTTTGTAGCCAGCATTGCTAGCTATTTACATGCCAGATGCGCTAAAGATTCATATGTCCCTTGATGCTTCAGTCACCATTCCAGAGGACATGTGTCCATGCTGATGACAGGTTCTGCTCGATAATGCTCCAGAGCAGTGCGGGTCGACGCATGTTCATTTTCATCATCTGAGTCAGATGGCACCAGCAGAAGGTTGATTTTTCTTTTTGATGGTTCGGGTTCTGTAGTTTCTGCATCAGAGTGTTGCTCTTTTAAGACCTCTGAAAGCATGCTCCACACCTCGTCCCTCTCAGATTTTGGAAGGCACTTCAGATTCTCAAACCTTGTATCGAATGCTGTAGCTATCTTTCGAAATCTCACATTGATACCTTCTTTGTGTTTTGTCAGATCTGCGGTGAAAGTGTTCTTAAAACGAACATGTGCTGGGTCATCATCCGAGACTCCTATAACATGAAGTATATGGCAGAATGTGGGTAAAACAGAGAAGGAAACATACAATTCTCCCCCCAGGAGTTCAGTCACAAATTTAATTGACACATTGTTTTTTTTAACAAGCATGATCATTATGGAAGCATGTCTTCTGGAATGGTGGCCGAAGCATGAAGGGGCTTATGAATGTTTAGCATACCTGACACATAAATACTTCGTGATGCTGGCTACAAAATGGCCATGTAAATGCCTGTTCTCACTTTCAGGTGACGTTGTAAATAAAAAGCGGGCAGCATTATCTCTCATAAATGTAAGCGAACTTGTTTGTCGTAGGAAGAAGTAGGACCGGGTGGACTTGTAGGCTCTAAAGTTTTGCATTGTTTTGTTTTTGAGTGCAGTTATGTAGCACAAAAAAATCTACATTTGTAAGTTTCACTTTCATAATAAAGAGATTATACTACAGTACTTGTATGAGGTGAATTGAAAAATACTGCTTTTTTTTACAGTGCAAATATTTATAATCAAAATAATATAAAGTGAGCACTGTACACTTCGTATTCTGTGTTGTAATTGAAATCAATGAATTTGAAAATGTAGAAAAATATCCAAAATATTTAATAAATTTCAATTGGTACTCTATTGTTCAACAGTGCGATTAAAACTGCGATTAGTTGCAGTTACTTTATTTGAGTTAATCGCGAGAACTAACTGCAATTAATCAACAGCCCTATTTAAAACGTATTTTTATTTACACACATACCTCTTTCTCTAACTCTAAAACAAAGCAGACATTGACTCCTTATAAATTGCTTCACAAGAAGCTACAAGTGGATGTATCTTCATCAGAGTTTCCATTCAGCTATAGAGTTTGCATGCTGATCTTTCTTCAGTGCCGTTCTATCCAAGCTCTTTCTGTGACATGCTACTAATTCTATACCTAGAACTGAGCCTTTGTTAAAGGAGGTATAAAGCTTTGAGTGGGCAACTTTTTGCTGATTTGTTTTTCATGACTTGCGTGTCCACTCTGAAAGGTTTATTCAGTTTTCTCCTCTTCTAGTTGTAAATAGCTGTTCGCTGATCTTCTACATGGTAGTGTCCATGGGAATTTTGACTGGACCTTGATAGTTCATTACTTCCTCTTGTTAAATAATCAAAAGTGCCTCTGTTCCTTTGGATTTTGCGGTTTGACCGTCATTCCTTGGAGATGAAGCTCCATATTAGTAGATTCAAAAACCATGAGAGAACACATTTACAAATGAGCAAAAAATTACCTGTTCAGATAAGCTTAGGCTTGACTTCTCAAAGTGAGGCTTGGAAAACAGAGAGATAGGGCAAGTAGGAGAATGCACGTCTGATTTTCTCTATGGTGTTTTTTGTTTGTTTGTTTGTTTGTTTTTTACTGATTTCTTTCCCCACACTTTTGAGGATGGAGAAAGGCCATTATCAGTTTCCTCATCTCTCTGATCCACTCAATTGTATAGTTATGGTGATTCATTGGTTATATAGAGATTTTACTCAAATTTAAATTTTAAAGTATAATTAGCTGGGTGGTTGGACAAACTGAGAACAGTTTCTCTTCTTCACAGCTTTGTTGTCTCAGATTTTACTTGCACTGAAGTGGTACTATTCTGATCCCTTCAATGACATTGATGATTGAAACAATAGATAGGTGAACAAACCATTTTGAATGTGCTAGATATGAATATTCCATTTGTTTTAACACTGATCTCACATTGCAGTGTAATTAATAACTTTACTTCATGCATATTATGTTGAACACGGATAGACAAACAATTCCTTCTTTGTCTCACAGGTAGTTGAACTACAAAACAGATTATCTGAAGAATCGAAGAAAGCAGATAAATTAGAATTTGAATACAAATTGCTGAAAGAAAAAGTAGACAGCCTCCAAAAAGAAAAAGATGTAAGTGTTTAGATGTTGCTTTTTTTTGTGGTGGTGGAAACAAATTTGTATCCTTATTACCGTGGACCTGCTTATCAAAATTACCTGTTTAGCCAAGTTACATTTCTTTGTTCACTTTAAATTGTCTGTTGTCTGGGTAAAATATTGTATAAATGTAATAACTATGGAGTTTGATAAACCGATCATCTGGCTTCAGGGTAACTACAAAAATGTGTGCAGTAGATTTTAAAAATGAAGAGCCAGGAAGACACATTTGTGTCTTTTTTTTCTTCTCGATATCCTTTTCTCCTGTCCCTCCCCATGCTGTCTTTATCTAACCTCCTACACCGATTCCTCATGTGTACAGTGTCACAGGTTTTTGCTTTGAGCATCCAGCAGTGGAAGACTCAGAAATCTCAAATGTAATTGTAAAGTGTATTTAATTTTAAACTGGGTTTCAAACTTTAAATATTCCTCTGGAGGTAACTCAGAAGTTTTCTTTTAAAGTAAAAAATCTTCAGTGTAGCCTCTACATAGTCCTATTTGTGGGATCAAAGTGCATGTGCTGCGAACTTTTGGAATCTTCTAGAGGGCAGTCTCAACTGGGGCCACTCACCCCTCCTGTCATCCAGGGCTCAGAGGGCATAAAAAGAGAAGAAGCCTTAACTGCCCTTCCATACCTTCTGACCAGCAAAGGTGGAGCAGAGAACTGCTTGCCAAAGTGCCCGAGACCCCCAGGTGCACTTGGGTTGATCAGGCATGGTGGGAGAGCATTCATCAAGATCAGCTGCGAGGAGCTGCTCACGAGCATTAGCTCTGTACCTGGATGGAGGTTGAAGACTGTCCTGGAGTTCTTGGTCACTTGACTCACATCCTAGTTCTTCTGAGGCAGACTGCAGCTTAGATTTTTACCCTAGACCATCCTCTACTCCACCTGCAGATCTAGTTGTCATGTAACTCTGGTATGAAGTGGGCAGCTATTCAGGGCTCTGAGTGTCAAAGAGTCCACAGTTCCCATGGTCCTGGAGTCTGGGATAGCCAGTACTATCAATGCTATTTCTGGTTGTAGTGAGACCTGTTGATGCCAGAGACACCGAATAGCTCCCATTCTTTGTACTGAACCTTCCTGTAATCTGACCATTTGGGCCTGGCATCTGAGAGAGCCTCAATAACCCCAACTTTTTAATTTCTTCCCACATGGAGGTGTCAGACAGTCTATATAAAGTCCCTGAGAAGGACATTTGTATTTTTAAACTCATCCAAACCTGGACTGTCAGGTAATGACGGTGGCCAATGAGAAAAAGCATTAGGCTGGAGGATCTTGTGCAGTGTCTTGACAAAAAAATCATTAGTGTTTTTAAAATGTGTTCGCTGACACAATTAAGTCTAATGTTTTTAAATACCACCAATCAACTGGAAGAGACAGGGCTTAATACTTTTAAAAACATGTTTAGTGACTGATCAGTTCTAGGGCACTGTTAAATAAAATGTCATCCTGGGCGTTGCTTCTTCCCTGATCAAGAAGCTGGGAATCTAAACAGTCTCCTGAATGTTGCAAATTTGAACAACAGATGAGAAACACTCAGAGGGACAGATATTATCCTTGCCATTTTTTCATGATTTTATTTTCCAACCAGCATTACCTCAGTCTTGCCTGGATTGAGCCACAAGCAGTTAGTTTTCATCCTTGTCCCAGTCTCAACTGAATGCTCTACTAAAGGTCAAGGCCATTGACTTTCTTAGGGGGTTATGCTGCTCACTGATCTTCCACCACTGGAAGTATGCAGAGGCCCTTGAAGGAGAAAGAGAAGTTACTTACCAGTAATCATAGTTCCTCAAGTGTTTTGCTTCTGCATATTCCCATTCCCCACCTGCCTTCCTGTCTTCTTCTGAGTGGGGTTAAAAATTCCCATATTAGGGGAAGGAATTGAAAGTGTGTTGGCCCGCTTCCATTGGATAGCTAGGAACCCTGCACAAGAGGAGAGGAAAGACAATGTGAGTGGCCCTGATGGGGTTACTGCTCTCCTTACGTTTCTGGAAGTTCATGGTACAGGTGTCTTGACCCCACAAGTGTAGTTATTCAGGTACAGGACTCTCAAAGAACCACAGTTATTGGTGAGTAGTTGCTCCTTATTTATTTATTTTTTTAAATTCTGCCTGGGGAATGAATTGGGATTCCTTGCTATGAAAGGCGTTTCTAGCAGTGCACATTAATCCTCTTTGTTAAAGTGCTGGCAATGATGTGCATAGTGGCAACTTGCTTAGAGTTAAAGATGGATTTGTAGAGATGAGATTAATATTTATTGTCCTTCCAATCACACAGAGGTTAAGAACGGAAAGAGATTCCCTAAAAGAAACTATCGAAGAGCTTCGATGTGTACAAGCACAAGAAGGGCAGCTCACCACTTCAGGTAATGGAGAAAGAGAAACCGAAGTTCCTTTTTTCTAAAGAACGTCCACAGAGGTTTCACAGGTGCAAGGTAGACAGGTTTACCTTTGTTTTATAGTTGACCAATTAACATCCACTAACTTGAGATTACAAAACAACTTCTGCTATAATCACATTTTTAGATGTTCAGAACTTCATGAAGCTTTCAACCTCTGGCTGAAATTTTCCATGCTTGGTCTCTCCCGAAATGTGATGTTTTAAAAAAGTTTTAAGAGTTTGATTTCTAAGTAATGGCAGTGAGAAACCAACTTTCTTATCTCCCTCATCTCCAAAAAATTAGCATTAATGTCCTAACATAGTTTTCCTAATCTTTTATGTAGTGCATATGGCACATATGCATTGATTTATATTCCATATATCACACCATGCAAATATTCATATTTTTACATGAACCAAGGAATAAACCGTAACTTGTGTGTAAAAAAAACAAACAAAAAAAAAACAAAGGTTTCAGAGTAACAGCCATGTTAGTCTGTATTCGCAAAAAGAAAAGGAGTACTTGTGGCACCTTAGAGACTAACCAATTTATTTGAGCATAAGCTTTCGTGAGCTACAGTTGCGTCCGATGAAGTGAGCTGTAGCTCACGAAAGCTTATGCTCAAATAAATTGGTTAGTCTCTAAGGTGCCACAAGTCCTCCTTTTCTTTTTGAAAAAAAACCCAAACAAAAACAAAAAACCACACACCACCACCAACAAAAAGAACTTTGTCCAAAATGGAGGAAAATGGAAACCGAAAACCTGTTCAAAAATGGAGTTATGTTCATCTTTCCTTCCTATTATAGTGTGACTCTGTATTATTTCTCTCATACTCACAAGGAGCATATTGTTTTAAATGTTCTCTTCAAATTTAATCCTGTTGAACAATATTTATCCATCGCCTTTTGAAACAAAAATTATTGTACTTTCTGTTAATCCTTTTCTTTGTTTATGTCTGAAACAGGATTGATGCCACTGGGAAGCCAGGAGTCTTCAGACAGCCTAGCAGCAGAAATTGTTACTCCTGAAATCAAGTAAGTGAAATCATGCTTATTGTTTCCATAGACTTTAGGATGTGTATGCACACGATTAGTTCTTTTTCAGTGTTTTTAAGTTTATCCCTAAGATTCACACTAGTTCTTTTCTCCTCCTTTGGATTTCTTACAAAGCCGTTCCTCTTACACTTGTGATGAATTTTATTTGACCTTCCCTCAGCCTGTATCATGCTGGGTTTTTTTGTTTGTTTTTTTTAAGTGCTTTCACTGGATCTCATTTCTCTAAAGAGTTTGTGATATTACTATTTTTAGGCATGTTAGAAAAGAAAAACATTTGTAACAATGGGACTTCATGTTGTTGAAGAGAAAACAATTAAAATATCAAACTGAAAACTGGATTTAAAAATCATTTGTATTATCAAGTGAGGGAAAAAGAACAGGAGTACTTGTCAAAAAACAGGGAAAATGAGGAGAATAAAGTCAGAATTGAAAATCAGTATGGTTTAAGACCGTCCAGGGTGTATTTAATATTGTCCAGACAGTCTAGTATCACTGCAGCTTGAAACTGGAGTAATTAGGGGACCCCCATCTCTAAGAAATACATTGTAACTCCATTGGAATTATTTTTTCCTCTTGAGATGTCAGTACATCTGTTTTCAATGATTGGGCAGATGCATATGGGTTTGAGAACTCTTCTCTGGAGTGGTGAAGGTGGTACTTGCTGGATGGCTACTAACAAAAGGGGATTCCTTTCTGGCAATTTTACTGTACGTTGCTGTGACATGAGTTAGTTCAAGGTTAGTTAAAGAGCAGTGAAGAGGGGATTAATGCTTTCTGAAGCAGTATTTTCAAAGAGGCATTTATCAGAAGAGCCTTAAAGGTAACCTACAAAGGAGAGAAAACAAACCTCAGCATTCTCAATGGAGCTCTGGGCCCTATAGGCAAAGGGTGGGAGGGGAAACACACACGAAGTGGTGAAATGACTTGCCCAAGGATATCAAGCAGCTCAGTGACAGAGCTGAGAATAGAATCCAGGTTTCCTGACTCCCATTCCAATGCCCTATCCACCAGGCCACACAGCCTTCAACATTTATAACTAATCTGGACACCACAGGGAACATTCCTCTGTTGTGACTTGTGCGAGCTTGGTTCTTTATGATTAATAGGGAAGGTCTGAAAGTATTTTTTCCCTGGAGGAAACGGGTTTTTATTTAATGTTAAACTTGGAAATCAGGTACCTTCTAGCTTGAAAGACACTAGTCTTGTCTGGACTAGGAAAAAAGATCAGTTTTTTTTAAGCAAGTTAGCTAAAATGACATTAAACACCACCTACCACCTCATGTAGACGATGGCTTAGTGATATATAAAATCATATTAGCCAATATTTAAAAAAAAAAAAAAAAAGTTTCCTAGTCTAGATGAGGCTTTTGGTTCCAGGAAAGCTAGTGTAATAGTACATCACGACAGCCAAGAAGGGTGAAAGTTGATCCATTGAGTGAGGAAGGAATTTTCAGTCATACTGTTCACCGTTTTTTTTAAATACCATCTTTAAGAGTTTAGAGAAGAATATCTTAGATTCAGCACCTTCACCCCTTCAGTTAAGATGTAAGAACAATATACTCCCTGTGAGATCCTACTGCAAATCCTCCAGGAAAATGAGGGAAGACCAGAGTTGACATTCCTGTCACTTTCTAAGGTATACAAACAAGCAGAGGGCAGGAGGCGAACCTCTTTTTAAAATAAAAAACAAAAAACCTTTCAGGCCTTCTTTATATGTCATGATGAGGCAAACAGTGCATAAGCCCTTCTTAAAAAAATCCTTTGCAGGTCACCTTTAAAGGCAGCTCGGGGAAGTTGAATAAATGCTGACTACATTCATAAGAAACCAGTAGATTGCAAGTTCTTTTGGGGAGGGACAGTCTACTACTGTGTGTTTCAGAGTAACAGCCGTGTTAGTCTGTATTCGCAAAAAGAAAAGGAGTACTTGTGGCATCTTCGAGACTAACTAATTTATTTGAGCATAAGCTTTCGTGAGCTACAGCTCACTTCATCGGATGCATACTGTGGAAAGTGTAGAAGATCTTTTTATACACAAAAAGCATGAAAAAAATACCTCCCCCCCCCCCCCACTCTCCTGCTGGTAATAGCTTATCTAAAGTGATCACTCTCCTTACAATAAGAAAGGAGTACTAACTTTATTTGGCTGAGCTTTCGTGAGCTACCACCATAGAAGTGAGCTGTATAACAGCTGTTCCTCTGAAACCCTCCTTACAATGTGTATGATAATCAAGTTGGGCCATTTCCAGCACAAATCCAGGGTTTAACAAGAACGTCTGAGGAGGGGGAGAGGGTAAGAAAAAACAAGGGGAAATAGGTTACCTTGCATAATGACCCAGCCACTCCCAGTCTCCATTCAAGCCTAAGTTAATTGTATCCAATCCAACCAGAGAGATGGAAGTGTTTATGAACTCTTTTACGTAGAGACTGTCCACTCTGAAGAAATAAAGAAAGAATAAATGGACACAAATCAGATGTCAAGAATTATAACATTCATAAACCAGTCGGAGAACACTTCAATCTCTCTGGTCATGCGATTACAGACATGAAAGTTGCGATATTACAACAAAAAAACTTCAAATCCAGACTCCAGCGAGAAACTGTTGAATTGGAATTCATTTGCAAATTGAATACAATTAACTTAGGCTTGAATGGAGACTGGGAGTGGCTGGGTCATTATGCAGGGTAACCTATTTCCCCTTGTTTTTTCTTACCCCCTCCCCCTCCTCAGACGTTCTTGTTAAACCCTGGATTTGTGCTGGAAATGGCCCACCTTGATTATCATACACATTGTAAGGAGAATGGTCACTTTAGATAAGCTATTACCAGCAGGAGAGTGGGTTTGTGTGTGTGTGTGTGTGTGTGTGTGTGTGTGCGGGGGGGTGAGAGAACCTGGATTTGTGCTGGAAATGGCCCAACTTGATTATCATACACATTGTAAGGAGAGTGATCACTTTAGATAAGCTATTACCAGCAGGAGAGTGGGGTGGGGGGAGGTATTTTTTTCATGCTTTTTGTGTATAAAAAGATCTTCTACACTTTCCACAGTATGCATCCGATGAAGTGAGCTGTCGCTCACGAAAGCTTATGCTCAAATAAATTGGTTAGTCTCTAAGGTACCACAAGTACTCCTTTTTACTGTGTGTTTGTACAGCGCTTAGCACAGTGGGGCCCCATTATAGAATTAGAGGGTTACAAGGGACCACAAGGGTCATTTAGTCTAACCCTCTGCCAAGATGCAGGATTTGTTGTATCTAAAGCAGGATTTGTTGTGTCAAAATTCTTGGTTGGCCCTCAGTCATTACCATAATAAACATGATTTAATAATTAATAACAATGTAAAAAATGGGCTTCCAGGCAAAAGTGCCCCTCCTCTCTCATCTAATTTGCCCTGTAATGTTGCAGTATGCTAAGTACACAGGTCCTTCATTGCCACCTGGTGGGGATCCTGCAGTCATAAGAACAGCCATACTGGGTTAGATCTATGGTCCATCTAGCCCAACATCCGGTCTCTGTCAGTTGCCAGTGCCAGATGCTTCAGAGGAAATTAACAGAACAGGGCAATTTTGACTGATCCATCCCCTGTCATCCAGTCCCAACTTCTGTCAGTCAGACTTTTAGGGACACCCAGAGCCATGGGGTTGTGTTCCTGACCATCTTGGCGGATAGCCATTGGTGCACCCACCCTCCATGAATTTTTATCTAATTCTTTTTTGAACCCATTTATAATTTTGTCCTTCACAACATCCCATGACACCAAGTTCTACAGGTTGACCATATGTTGTGTGAAGAAGTACTTCCTTTTGCTTGTTTTTAAACCTGTTGCCTATTAATTTCCATGGGTGACCCCCCCAGTTCTTGTGTTATGTGAGGGGGTATATAACACTCCCTTTTTCACTTTCTCCATGCCATTCGTGATTTTATAGGCCTCTCTCATATCCCCCTTTAGTTGTCTCTTTTCTAACCTGAACAGTCTGTCTTTTTAATCTCTCCTCAGATGGAAGCTGCTCCATACCCCTAATCATTTTGTTGCCCTTCTCTGTATCCTTTCCAATTCTAGTAGATCTTTTCTGAGATGAAACAACCAGAACTGCACACACGGTGTGGGCGTACCATGGATTTATATGATATTTTTTGTCTTATAATCTATCCCTTTCCTAATGGTTCCAAACATTGTTAGCTTTTTTGACTGCTGCTGCACATTGAGCGGATGTTTTCAGAAAACTATCCACAATGACTCAAAGATCTTTCTTCAGTGTTAACAGCTGCTTTAGACCCTATCATTTTGTAAGTATAGGTGGGATTATTTTTTCCAATGAGCATTATTTTGCATTTATCAATATTAAATTTCATCTGCCATTTGTTGCCTAATCGCCCAGTTTTGTGAGATTCCTTTGTAGTTAGCTTTGAATGTAACTATCTTTTTGTATTGTGCAAATTTTGCCACCTCACTGTTCACCCCATTTTCCAGATTATTTATAAATATGTTGAACAGCACTTGTCCCAGTACAGATCCTTGGGGGATCCCACTATTTACCTCTCCCCTTTTTGAAAACTGAGCAGTTATTCCTATTCTGTATTTCCTATCTTTTTACCAGTTTCTGATTCATTAGGGGACCTTCCCTCTTATCCCATGACCGCTTACTTTGCTTAAAAGTCTTCGGTGAGGGACCTTGTGAAAGGTTTTCTGAAAGTCCAAGTACACTGTATCACCTTTGTCCACATGCTTGTTGACTCCCACAAAGAATTCTAATAGATTGGTGAGGCATGATTTCCCTGTGCTGTGTTGACTCTTCCCCAACATATTGAGATTATCTGCATTTCTGATCATTTTGTTCTTTACTGTAATTTCAACCAGTTTTCCTGGTAACGATTTTAGATACTGACCTATAATTTCCAGGATCACCTCTGGAGCCTTTTTAAAAATAGGCATTACATTAGCTACCCTCCATCCATCTTCTATAGAAGCTGATTTAAGTGAT